AGCAACCAACCAACTGATCACAACGTAGCATCTCTTTTGTGGGCCATCCGAGGGTGAAATTTAGAATAGGAAGAAGCCTATTGCAACGTGGCATGCCTTTTGTGGGCTACACGAAGATACAGTTTAGAGTAGGAAAAGGCCATTGCAACGTAGCATTCCTTTCGTGGGCAATTCAAAGGTAAAATTTAGAAAAGGAAGAAGCCATTGACACGTAGCATGCCTTTTGTGGGCCACCCGAGGGTAAAATTTAGAGCAGGAAGGAGCCATTACAACCAAGCATTTCTTTTTGTGAGCCACCCGATGGTAAATTTTAGAGTAGGAAGGAGCCATTACAACGATTTACAACGTAGCATTCCTTTGATGGGCCATTCGAAAGTAAAATTTAGAAAAGGAAGAAGCCATTGCAACGTAGCATGCCTTTTGTGGGGTAAAATTTACAGCAGGAAGGAGCCATTTATATTACAACGTAGCATTCCTGTTGTGGGCCATTCGAGGGTGAAATTTACAGCAGGAAGGAGCCATTACAACGCAGCATTAGATCGAAATTCGAATCGACGACAATTTTTACACCCCGGGGGGGGAACCAGTTCGAGTTCGAGTTCGAATTCCAACCGACGACACTTTGACGCCCGGAGGGGGGGAAACGCAGTTCGAGTTCGAGTTCGAATTCGAATCGACGACAATTTTGACACCGGGGGGGGGAACAGTTCGAGTTCGAGTTCAAATTCGAATTCGAATCGACGACAGCGATTTTGGAGTTCGACTCTTTCGATTCGTCCACCGGGTTAACTTCCATAACAGTTCCAGTTCGAGATCGAGTTCGAGATCGAGTTCGAATTCGAGTTCGGTTCCTTCCATATATCCTTTCAGGGTTGAGTTCATCAATAAGTATAACTGTTTCAGTTCGAGTTCGAGTTCGAGTTCAGGTTTGACCTCACTATGCCTCACGCTGTGCATCGGCCGTGCGGCTCGACCGCTGATCGCCACGGTGCCGGGACGACGCGCGGTTCCGCCGCAGGGCGACGACGACGACGACGAGCTGCACGAGCGCGTTCATCTTGGATGCCAACAGCCACTGGGTCCACACTTGGTCGGGATTCCTGTGAGTTTCCCTGGCTGGACCGCGAAAGGCCGGCGCAGAAAAGCTACCAAAATGATTTTTAAGTATCTTGGGATGGTGGGATGGCTAAAAGGATGGCTAAAGGGTGAGGTCTTCATTTTCGCAGCCACTCTAACACTCTGAATGCAGCAGTCTTGGTAGTGGTTGGCCACCTGGGGAACCCCATTCGGGCCAAGGATCCATCTTTGTTTTCTCATGGTTGAGCCGATCTACGAATCAAGGATACATTTAATTCTGACCAAAATGACTGGCTGCCTCAAAAAGAAGCTGTAAGCCCCGAATCCACGCTCTAAGCTTTCAGGGCCTTGGTTCCGCGTGGCCCCAAGGGAATGCAGTGCCTGTCAGGCTCTGGGCATCGTCTGCTTGGAAGGTGTCATGTCGCATCTCTTATGACTCAGCTCCTGGTGGCTGTGTTCAGCAGTGGCTATGGTCTCTAGTCAACTTCTGTTGGAAAATGTGAGACCGTTACATCATGTCGCATCGCAAGGAAAACACAGTCAATTGAGCTTTGTCGTGTAAACTTGTTTGTAGACGGGTAGACCTTCGTCGACAGCGTTGGTAGTAGTCCGAAATGTACTCCTCTTGATCAGACCGCCTGGAAAGCAGAGAACATCAGCGAGAGAATGACCACAAACTGGTGAAATCAATTGAAAACAACTGGGACAACACAGGGAACGCGCGATGGTGATCCTCTATGAACATCATCCCTGGAGCACATGCGTGGACCATGATGCATCTCCAGCTCCCAAATACATCTGGTTTCCTTGCCTTGTGAATCCCAGATGAGAGATTCGCCAGTCGGTATCTTCAACACTGAGGCGGCTCAGTCCACCATCCTAACAGTTTGCGCAAAGTGCACTGAACCTTTGAGGTCATACAAACGAGCTACACCTGTCGGATCTCGTTGAAGCGTGCGCTGCCGTCCGTGAGAACTCTGAGGAGCAGGACTGGGATAGAACAAAAGGGAAGAATCCGTGAGGATGCACAGCCTTTACGGGTTTCCTCAAAGTTCTTTGGCAAAGAATATCTCTATCAACGCGAGGCGCAAGTTTTGACCCTCATCATTCTCATGATGTGTGAGAGAAGTGATGTCAAACGATGTTGCATTCTGATTGCAGCAAAAACCTGGAGGTCTGGAATAAGTTCAAAGCTGGCTTGCACACGCAAAACCAAGGCACATGCAATTTGCACCCCAGTGTTCGTCACATGTCATATATATATATATATATGTATATATATATGTCACGCGTCGGCTGGTCACATGTCATGTATGCGCCACATGTCATGTGCACCGCGGCCAGGATCACAAGGCATAGGACACATGTCATTTGCATTCCAGTGCAGGCCACAAGTCGAAGGTCACATGTGATTTGCTCCCAAGTCATGGTCACCAGTCAAACGTCACACATCTTTCGCACCGAGGTGCTGGTCCCAGTGCTGTTCACAAGTCAAAGGTCACATGTCACTTGCACCCCAACGCGGGTCACAAGTTATACGTTGCATGTCATCAATGCGGGTCACACGTCATATGTCACATGTCACTTGCACCCCAATGTGGGTCACAAGTCATATGTCACATGTCATCTGCACCCTAATGCGGGTCACAAGTCATAGGTCGCATGTCATCTGCACCCCAATGCGGGTCACAAGTCATAGGTCGCATGTCTTTCGCACCCCAATGCGGGTCACAAGTCATAGGTCGCATGTCTTTCGCACCTCGTGTCGTCTCTTTAGTCTTTGGAAACGGCGTGGCGTGAGACGGAGGTCTCACTGCCTGGCTGCTGCCTTTTGAAATTAGCCCATGTGTGTTTGGCTTCTTTGAGGGCCTTGATTCAGAGAGTTGGCCGTTTAATTTCGCTTTTGTCTTTCGGAGTCTTTCGGCTCCTGCAAGCTCTGTCGGAGCTCGCCGGACTGGAAATGCGAAAAACTGGACTCTCTTTCCGACTCCCGCACCTCCCAGTCGGAGGCCGTCGTGGAGGCCTGCGCACGTGGACGGCGAGACGGCTGGAGCCACGTAACAATGTAGAAGGCTACCGGGGCCTCGGTCCGTCCGTGCAGAACTCGTTGCCACCTTAGCGGCTTTTCAGAAGAAACACTAGTAACAAGGGCATTGCTACTAGTAACAAGAAGCTACTAGTAAGAAGTGCATTACTACTAGTAGCAAATAGCTAGAAACAACACTTCTCTTGAAGAAAAGATTCCATTGGTCGCAGGTGGGGGTCGTAGTGGGGGTTGTGCAGGCACCTTTTCAAGATGAGATGGGTTTGTGCCGAAAATCTTCAAGACTCTGGACATCCAAGTCCGCTGCAATGGCCTACACGTGGGGTTTAACTTGGCTTCATTCAACTCTTACAATACATACATGGCTCCAATAGTCCGGACACCGAAAAGGATTCAACTGCAGTCAAATCCTTTTGGAGAAGACAAGGTCAAACTCCCAGGGTCCTCTCAGTATTCCGCTCTTCGAACTCGCTCAGGGTCTTCTTGGCACTTCCAGCCTAGTGTCTTTGGCACTTCCGAGATCCGGTCAAATAGCGTGCGGCGGCGTGCTATGGCGACGGTGGGGTTCAGAAGCCTGGGGGAAGGTGGGCACTCCAGACACACCTTCATCTGGTGTACACGCGCATCCACCACAGATCATGGTGGCCCAGTCCTGCCTCGTTGTAATCCTGCCAGTACTCCTGCTAGTCTGCGCAATTTGTTCTGGCTCTCTTGCTCTTGGCTTTTTTTCTGAAATAAGAAGATCGAACACTGGAAAGACATCTCATCCACCATGACCAAAACTCGAAACACATTAGCTCCATTCAATGTGCAAAGTAGAATATAAATAGTATCCCAAAGCATGTACAAATTGTTCACTGATCTTCTCATGTCCAATACACTGTACATTTACTTCATCTCTATCTTGAAGACTCTACTTCACAGACACAAGCCAGGGTCACAACTCTGTGCTGCTCACAACTCCGTTGGGCTCACAGCAGGCGTTTGTCACGCGGCAGGTGTTGAGACCACCGCTATGACGCCAACAGCAGAGAGTTGCCATCATGTAAAATCTTTATAAATAAAAACTCTCCAATCGGATTGTACAACCTCTTTATATATTTCTGTTTTCCTTTTACAATCAAGAATGAAGCGTCTACATATGTCCACATTACTTGTTGGTGGGCATTTGTCGTCCTGCTTCAATTGCTCTCGCTGAGCCACTGAGAGGATGGTCTCATCATTGTCCTCCTGCCAATGAACTTGCACTAAAAGCAACTCACATTCCCAAATGATTCTTTTTGCCAGAGAAAGGTGGTCAAAGGCACTCCAAGGCACTCCAAAAGAGACATACTTCCCTCGGACCAAAACCCTTCCAGCCTTCCCTACCGATCGAGACAAACACACCAGCCTCCAAGTCTAAGTCTTCTTTGGCTTCCAGCAGCTTTTGCTGCGCCTGGCAGTGGCTTGCTGTCTGGGCTAAAAAGCAAACAGCTGCAACAGTCAGCTGTTGTATCGAAAGTAAGCACGGGCTCATATGATTCATATGTCATATGTCATATGACAATAATCTGCCCCTCGTCATCCACTCATGACTTGTAATTAGCAATAAACTCATTCATCAACACCTTCCTATCATGTCCAAAGCATGGAAAGGTCAGATCTTGACTCGCCTTGCCTCGCGATAGCGAGCACTTTGTCTCGTCCCAGGTCGGCTGATGGAATGTCCTGCTCATCCCGCCCATGGAATCTAAACTCTGAAAGTACATCAATATCCAACATGATCAACCATGACTTTCAGAGCTCTCCTTAAAGAAAGAATGCTTAAACTCCTTACGCTTTGGCACCGGAAATTGCACTGCAAAGGCAAAGGCAAACTTGCAAGGTTGAGCGTCATTTTTCTGCCGATCACAAGCCAAAAGTATGTGGTGTAGTTCATCTCAAGGGCTTCCAAGTAATGTGGAAATCCATGGGAGAAAGGCTTCAGAGAACTGATCTCGAAGCATGTCAAACTCCTTAGCAGCAGCCGGAGCTCTTCCTCACTTGCAGGATACTTGGAAAAATACTTCAACATCAACAAAACTACACTGAAGAGACAAAGAAAAATTGAGCACCACATCAAAAAGACAAGCATATTCCAAAAGCATGACGAGCTTCTTCTTCTTGCTGCTCTTCTTGGACTTCTTGAGCGAAGTGGCTGCCTTGACCTCTCCCACTGCGGCCGAAGCGGCGGATCCCAACGTTCCGGTGGTGACCACGAAGCTCTCGCGTGCCATGTCCGACATGGCATGGTGACCTTGAGGAGCCATGTGGCCCTCAGGATGTGTCGTCACCACGTAGCCGGGGGGAAGGGCCTCTCCCGGGGCAAACCATTTGCCCTGAGAGTGATCCAAGGCGGAGGGCATCGTGTAGCCACCATAGGAAGTCATGGGCGTGCCGGAGTACACTGTGGGATACTGGTAAGCCATGGCGTCCCCAACGACCAAAACGAACGCACAAAGAGCACTTTGAGCACGGCAACTGCGAGGTGTCCAAAGTGCTCTGCAGATTCAAACACTTTGGCACTTGTCTCGTGCTGGAAGCTTTCGTGCCATCTAAGAATCTTGCTAAGAGCAGAAACCCCTTTGAGACCTGGCAGCCTCTCCTGAGCTCGGCCGCTGAAGCTCGGACGCCTGGCAGGTCTCGCTCGGAAGCGGGGACGTGACCTGTCTGAGGTCCGAGGTGGCACTCTTTTCTGAATGGGCATGGCTTGGCTGCTACCCCATCATGTGGTGTGTAGCTTTGACCTTGAAGAAAGTTCGATGACATGTGGGTCTTGGGAGATGTGCTTGTCCTCAGCAAGACAATCTCCATGCTGTACATTACCTCACTTCTATCCTAGAACTTTCCCACTTTGGAATACGATCAGATGTCATTTGCGCGCCTCAGTGCTGGCAAAGATGTTCGAAAATGGGAAGTCCTGGGAGAATCCAACACGATGTCCCAACTAGGCTGGTCAAGCATGCAGGAGCTCTGAGAGGTTGATCAAACTTCAACCAAGGAAATCTACTACTACTACTACTACCACCACGACGACGACGACCACGACCACGACGACGACGACGATGACCACCACCACCAAAAGGTTGCTGGCGCTGTGGGTGGCGATGCTACCCTTGAAGGCCTACCACACATAAGGAGTTTTGAGCGTCGCGCAAAAATAATGTGCCAGCGCTTCCTTGAAGAAGCATGAACTATCCTGCGTCCACTACCTTTAATGGAGTGGGTGCCTACAAATTAAGTAAGGGTGAGGACAACGTAGGCAAACAAAGGTCACTCTGGTGAGTTGACCATACATCAGTTGCCATGAATCTTGGCAACCCGTGACAAGCACGTTTGGTCGCAAGACAGTTCAAGAGCAGTGTAGATCTTGATCAAACGTTCGCTCCCACGTCAAGCATGGTCCTGCCCAAAATGCTCATCCACTTGATGCTGAACGTCTTCAAGCATTTCAGGGCCATGACCTTAGACGCAGAGCATCTGGTTCTCGAGGTTCACCTTGAAGGCCACCAGTCTCTCCAGCAGCTTCTTCTTACTTCTGCAGAGTATGCCAGTTGTCGTTCCTTGCGTGCCATCTGCAACTCCTTCACTGTCATCTTGTCGGAGAAAGCGACTTCGTCCAGTTCCACCTCCTGTGGCCGTTCTGCCACCACCATCTTCTCAACAGCGTGGAACATCTCTTGTGCCTCCAGCTCCTCAATCTCCTCACCTTCGTCCTCTGACCAGGCCACATAGCCAAAGGCGCCCTCTGCCAAAGGGTATGGTGCTCTGGGAACCTCACTCTCCTGCTCCCAGTAGTCCTTGAACTGCTCAGGTGAGAAGAAGCTCAATGTCCTCTGTGGTTCCGTTACCAGGCTGATCTTGCGAAATGCCTGTGATCCCAGCTGGTTGTAGTCTGCTACCTTCTCCAATTGCGTCCAGAACCCGTCTCTGCCCTTGACCAATGTCAATCTGGCTTTTTGGTGCTTCTCCACAAGTTGCCACTGGATCGCTGTAGACAGCTACCCCATTAGGTAGTCTGCGCCACCTCGGTGTCATCTCCAGCTCTTGGACATACTTGCTCAGATAGCCCTGCAATGCTTGCACTCTCATTTCATCCTCCTCTTCAGTCTTCTGTTGCGGCACCAGGCTTTCACTTGCGTGCACTGCAAAGATTCTTGCCTCGCATTGCAGAGAGTTTCTCTCAGTGTTCAATGGGATGTCCACTGAGCGTCCTTCGTGTCGTAGGCGCAGGCTGCCATCGACTTCGCCCAGGGACCAACCTCTCTTCAGCAGTTTTCCAGCACAAAGAATTGGATGTTGAACATTTCCCAAGACGAAGTCTTCGTAGATCTCGATGCTCTTCCCCGTCCTGTCCACCATTCTAATCTTTGCTCTTGTCATCCCCTCATGGGCAATCTTTCGCCCTTGGGCGTCTATACCATCTTCAAGCCACCATCTCCTTCTCTTCTCTCTCCAACTCCTGCATAGTCCCTTGGCAGCACAGAGATGTCTGCACCACTGTCCAAGGTAATTAGGCAGTTTTCGTTCATTTCCTCAGGCTGCATCCTCACCATGCTCACAACCATCTCTTCATCATCATCTTGCAGATCCATGGCCATTATAGCCACATCATCTGGCACTTCCACCATTGGTTCATAGCATTCTTGATACTCGAACTCCTCAATGTCGTAGAACTCCTCCATCTCATAGAGCTCCATCAACACCATACCCACACGCCATGCAAAGTTGTCACCATGATCTCCACGTGGCGTTGTCAGGTCAAACACTTCCAATGATGCTCTGCAACCTCACCATCTTCACTGATGCTGTCGTTGTCGTAGTTCCTCCACCAGTGTTGCCAGTGGAAGATGAACTGGCTCCTCCAGGGTTCAGCATCTCCTCGACCTGATTCACTCTCTTCCAGCACTCACGAGCGAAATGGCCCGTTTTGCCACCAGGTGACCTGCACCAACTCTTTGATGCCTCATCTCCTTTCTCATTCGCTTTGCCTTTCTTTCCTGGCCCTTTGTCCCAGAAGCTCTTGCCCTTGTCAGCTCCTTTCCAAGAGCCTTTGCCATCTTTGCCACCATACTTCCCTTTGTCTTTGCCCTTGTCTTTTTCTTTGGCGTCTTTGCCTTTTCCTTTCGAGCCTTTCTTGCCCTTGCCAACCTTCCCGACATAGTCCACTTCCATTGGGGTTGCTTCATCACCGGTGGTTGTGGTGGGAGGCATCAATGAGTTTGCGGAATCCCACTTGGTCGTCACCGCCTCAAGCTGGATGATCCTGTCTTTGAGTTGCTCATAGGTAGTTGTGTCTGTGAGCCATAGGTGAAGGTGTTGACGAATCTGCAAAGGGCAGGCCAGAAGGATCGATGCCACCTTAGCATCTTCTGAGTACTTTTGCGATGAAATGCGCTCGTACTCCAAGACCAGGGCCTCAAACTGCGGTAGCTGCTCTGACACCGTTTTGCCTTCTGCAAACTGGATACGTGACAGCTGCCAAAGCAGGGCCAGTGCTCTAGCCCTTGTTGCCAGCTGCATCTCCTTCAACAAAGTCTGCCAGGCCTCGAAGCCGTTCTCGCTCTTGACATGGCGGATCAGCTTCAGTGGGCGTTGCCTCAAGTAGGAGGTCAACAGGCTGTAGAGTCTCACAGCCTTTGCTTTCGTCTCGTCGGTCGTGTCCTCGAAGTTGTAGTCTGCATCAACATTATTCTCGACCATGTCCATGCTGGCCGCCATCGAAGGGTCCAATCCCTTCACATAGTTGAGGAAACCAACTTCCAGTCTCCCCACAACTTCAACTCTGCATCCCTTCCATCGGGCTTGAAGACATCAGGTGCCTTTAGATGCCTCGCCCATCCTTGCGTTGACTGGTTCAATGCCAATCTCTCCAAGGCAGTTGCCACTTGTCGGAGGCTCTCTTCTGCCATTGATCTGAGCCCAATGACCTTGGGGATGAATGTCTTCGTCTCCACAGGTGCAAGGGGTGTAGGCGTCCCGAACGCCAATCCTGCCTATTCTGGGATGTCCCAAAAGCGCCAGTTGTACACTAGCTCGCTCAACTTGTCCTCCTCGGTGCTGTCCCTCAGCTCCTCAATGCGTTTCACGAATCTCCACTTTGCTGGCACCACCACTATCACCTCTTTGAACTCTTTCTGATCTTCCTTTCTTGCCACTAGCACTGAAGCTCTCACGGCCTTCTCACTTCTAATCCACTTGATCTTGCTCAGGTGCTCCTCAGTCTCCACCACCAACGTATGGATCCTCCTCACTCGTGCCTTTCCAGTCAGCGGCGAGATGGAACTTGCCTGGTAGTATTGCACTGGCGTGTCGCTGTCCCAACTCCGCCGGCAAGACCGGCCACCAGCAGTAGCTCAATGAGCCAGATCGAAGTGAAGGATGGTCCACCCCTGGATCGTGTAGATCTCTTCGTCCACGTCGTTGTGGATGCCGTAGAGCTCCTGCTCGTCGTAGTGCTCGTGGTGCCACGTGGGTAACGAAGCCCCGGTTCAGTACGACCAGGGCTCCGCTACCATGAAAGGCGCGGGCGCAGTTTTCCAAACACAGCTTGGGCCTTCATGGCCAGCGTACATGTGCATGATCATGCCACCTATATATGTCCGACTGACCGTCATGTCCTGATTTCCTGTCAATACAGCAACTGCTACAACTAGAGAGCTGTTGTCTTTCTCGATGCTGTTGATTGTGAAGAGTTATGATCATAAAGTCAGGTGTGAAGAACGGAAAAAGAGAAGAAAACCAACCAGCCATTTCAGAATCTCGGTCCATCTCTGAAGCTGCATCATCCGGCCTGAGAGGATGAAATGGACAAACACTGTACAACGCAGACTAAACCACTCATCGACTCATGATCTCGGCCACTGAGTTTCGGTCGAGCCCAATCGTAATGACTGGAGAACGCCGCTCCGTGCAGACCTCAGAAGCAAAAACCTGCACAGAAGTACAATTCAGAAGTGCTCTTGCTTTGGGGTGCCAAAGAATTGATTGCTATGTCAGTCAACCAACGGCAACACAACTGGAGTGACATTGAGTGGATGATCCGTTTTCTCAGTTCCGAAGCTTGATGTCATAGACAGCCGCACTCTGCTGCTCACGCTCCTGCGAGGCCGAGTGATACCAACCAACAAAAGGTTGTAGACGGTGTGACGGTGTAGACCACCAAGTTTGAGTTGCTTGATTTCCAGAGATACTGAAACTCTCTTTGAAAGAACCAAAATTGAGAATCCAAAGCGAAGAGACTCGAGATAAAGCAACTGAAGTTCGAAGCACAAGAGACATACACAGAAACGGACAAGGCCTTGTTGCGTCGGAAGCGTTCGTAGCTGAGGGGAGGAACCTCGTGAGGGAAATGATTCAACTGCAGAGGCACTTCACTACAAGGTGCCATCAAAGATTCTTGACCAAACTAACAAGCTTCTGGGACACACATGTATCCATGTCACGAAGAACAACACTCGTGGAAGCTCGTGTTGTAGGCTTT